CGAGTATATTTGGGTAATCCCTCAAGGTTTCGAGGATAATCGTAACAGTATCATATAATTGATGTCGAACATTGGAGTTGGTAGATTAGGGTTGTCAGTGGCAAAAATACATCGATGTTTGTCTTTGATTCGATGCATCGATTTGCATAGGATTTTTCAGATAATGTTTCACAAAATATGTTAGCGCAAAATTGTAGAAAATTTGAAATAAATGACTGCAACTGAGCTAATAATGTTTCTAACGGAACTTCTTGCAGCCGTTTAAATTTTTTGGTCAATGCCACTTCTTTTTTTTTGAACAATTGAAAAACTGGAATGACGGTTCAGTATAGCGTAGATGTCAGTTTTCAGAAAACATCGATACATCGATGCATCGATACATCGACTATTTATACATCGAGTTGAAAATTTTCGATGCATCGAAGCAAAACATCGATATTTTCGATGCATCGATGTTTTTCCGAAATCTCTATGGTAGATTAGTGTGAACATTTTTAATTACATTGACGGAAAGCTTTAAAAAGAGTCAGTAATTAGAAATTTAAGCTTTAACCTACAAAATGGCTATAGTGTATGAGACTGTGGAGAATTGGGGCTTGAAGAAATGTGGGGAGATTTCGACTTTGCTAGCCGTAGGGAAAGAGGAGTTTTTTCTCAGTTGTGAATTTTGTGACTATACTGCTATACAATTGGATAGATTCATACGCCACATGTGCGGAAACCATTTGGCTGAATTTACTAAAGCAAAGTCAAGACAAAAGTCACCGGAACTCCCAGTTGAATTACGAGCCGAGGAGGTCGGTAATCAGTGGGAAAACAGTAATCAGGTACTAAGCTGAGGGGAAATTTATACATAATTTTACCGTTTGAAAACTGTGGATTGGATGTAAACCATTTTATATATATGTATATATATGTAAACAGGATAGCGTTGACAAGGATTATGCTCTAAGGGGATTTGAAAGGGTTGAAATAGAGTTGGACACAATGGATGTAGAAGGTTCCTTGGAGATGAAAGAAGAAGATATATCAGATGAATTTTTAAGCGAAACTGAGAATGAAGTAAGTATTTCCAATTAAAATTAATCCACTTACAATTTTTTAATGCTTTGTTGATAGGAAACATTTGAAAACATTAATAAGCGTGGAAGCATTTCCCTGCCACCCCTTAAGTCTGGTCAATTCGATAAAGACAAAAAGATTATGACAAAGTATTATCCAAACGATGAAGAAAAACAATTTATTATTGAGTTTATTGAACTATATCGCTCCTTACCGTCGTTATGGGACTTCAAACATTATGATTATAGCAATCGCAATTCAAGAGCAATACAGTATGACATTATGCTTGCAAAATATAAGGAAAAATATCCAAAAGCTGACAGAAAAGAAGTTATGAAAAAGATTAATAGCCTTCGATCAAACTATCGACGAGAATTAAAACGTGTAACTCCAAATGGAACGCCCTCTCTGTATTATTTCGAGGCTATGGATTTCTTGCGCAATAATGATCACGGTGAAGAATCACAAAACCTAATTAACGACTTCGAGGAATCTAAGGTAAGCCCAGATTGTGACTTAACCGCTTGATGCATTTAAGTTTATATTTCTACCATTTAACGTAACATCGCGTTTCTAATATTTTCCTAATCCTTCTCAAACCGAATTCTCTTATACTTTTTAACAGAGAAATACTTGAGAACTCTAATGTAAAATCAAGCTTTTTCACTAACGTTAGAGACTACTTAAATTAGTACGACAGCCGGTTCTACGTACCGGAATGACTCGGGTTTCACCCGACCAAGGGCTGTTGTTTCGGCGATCTAACCCCGTTTAGGTCGGCGAAGTATCTCAGAAGTTGTCCGTCCATAGGGCAACATTCACTACGCATTCTCCTACTCTGGGCTGGCATCGAGTCAAACCCTGGGCCAGAAATATACACCTGCTGTGTATGCCGAAGACGATTACATCACAACTCCACCTCAGTCAAGTGTAATGCCTGCGAGGGGTGGAGTCACCTCAGGGTCTGATCGGGACTACGGACACACAGACAGTGGACCACGTCCTACGTGGCCCCCTGTTGCTCAAACAGAGCAGCCTCCACGGCAAACGATAGTCCGCCCGTGCAGCCCCACACACTCACACAGCAACCACACACAGTCGCCACTACACAACAACATAATAACACCACAGACCGTACCACAGCCACCAAGGACCACATAACTCACACAACCGCACCACCACCCACACGCCGCCGCCAACAACTCCTGGTTCCCCCTACAATCTGCACGGTATGTCAGACCAGAATATTCCGTAATGTGACATCAGTCAAGTGCAATACCTGCCTTGGCTGGTGCCACTTTAGGGCATGTTCAGGTCTGCGTACCACGCGAGATTGGACGGGGAATTTCGAGGGCCCGTGCTGTGCTGCTCGGTCGCAGACGTCAATTGCGACGCCCCCACCACCACCACAGGGCGGCAACCACCTCAGCAGCACACACAGCCAACGGCGGCAAGAACATACACCTCACTCACACCCCACATCACGACACGTCTCCCGAACCACATGAAGCTCCTCCAATTCAACTGTAACGGGCTACAGAGCAAGATTGAGGAGATAACCGTCTTCATGTGTCGGCATGGTATATTAATAGCTGCGGTCCAAGAGACGAAGCTGCACAGCAATTCAACTTTGTTGAATTGCGCCGGGTACAACGTGCACCGTCGAGATCGCGAGCGAGATAATGGTGGTGGCTTAGCGTTCATCTCGCACCACACCGTGCAGTATCGTCTTATCGAAGCAGACATCGACCGCAGGGATACCACCCTAGAATGTTAGGGCATCGCTATCCGGTCAGGCGATGTCGAGCTCGAAATATTTAACATTTACATACCCCCTGTCACCTGCTGCCCGGCAGGATATCACCCTGATATAGGTGCGCTCCTCAGAGGTGAAAACCGTATGGTAGTAGGTGACTTTAATGCGCACCACGATCTTTGGCACTCAAGCCTGTCAAACGATCGTAGGGGAACAGACTTGGCTGAGCAGATAGACGATTCGACATTCTGCACAATGAACGACGACGCACCCACCAGGATTATGGGTAACTGCAGTAGCTCGCCAGACATCACAATAGTCAGCGCTGGTCTGATAAACAGCATAACGTGGCGACCTATGCTGACTCTAGCATCAGACCATCTACCCATAGTCATCTCGATTGATAAACCAACCGACTTTGCCTCCGCCAAACACCGGACCTATATCAACTTTTCCAAAGCTGATTGGAAAGGTTACGCGGAGTTTACTGAAAACACCTTCGCAGCGCTCCCCACACCAACCGACGTCCACCTCGGTGAACGTAAGTTCCGCAGGGCTATCACTGCTGTTGTTGTTGTAGCAGCAGTGCTCAACCCCCCAGATTTGTCATGTGTCGTCTTCATCCTCCGACTCTGTGAGCCTGAGGCTGAGAAAGCGGGCTGCGTCGATAGGCGCGGTCCAGAGCGCATCTGGTGTCAGGGTCGTAGGGTTGGAGGTGCACGTGAAGAGGTGCTGGGTGTCGTGGGGACCTTGCCCACATGCAGGGCATGTGTTTGCCACTTGTGTGTTCAGCCGAGAGAGGTAGCTGTTGAGTCGGTGACACCACCCAGAACGGAGTTGTGCTAGGGTGCACCTGGTCTCTCTCGGCAGCTCTATTTCTTCTGGATCTATGGGCGGCGGTCGACCGCCTAAGACGATGTTGTCATTACGGGTACTGAGGGTCGTTCTGACCGCATCGCTGTGTAGGCTGTTGAGCGCCGCTCTGTATGTTGCTGCGTCGAATGGATGGTCTACGTACGGCTCAATGTCCGCTTTCCAGTCGTGCAGGTGTCGTCTCACGTGTCGTGGGGCGGTTCGTTACGAAGCAAGGCATTGTTGGGGTGATTCCCTCGGTGACAGCCAACGAGGTATTGCTTCGACAGCATGGTGTTGTGCTCTTTCACCGCCAGCATCTGGCTTTCTTCATGTAGGTGATGCTCGGACGACATGAGATGACAACCTGTAGCCGTACGTAGAGCTGCATTCTGGCAGGTTTGGAGGTTCCTCCATCGGGTGTCGCTTGTCCCCGCCGTCCACACTGGTGCCGCGTAGTTGGCCACTGACCGGCCGATTGCCTTGTAGGTCGCGAGCAGGGTTTCTTTATTGGCTCCCCAGGTGCTGCCGGCTAGCGATTTTAGGACTTTGTTCCTGGCTCGCAGTTTGTTGCATGTGGCTGTGGCGTGCGCGGAGAAGGAGAAGAGGCTATCGAACGTCACTCCTAGGATTTTAGGGTGGTTGGTCGTCGGTATTTTGGCGCCATCGACGAAGACGTCCAGTTCTAGCCCCACCAGGTTGGTCCAGGTTGTAAAAAGTGTGGCGCTGGATTTTGCGGCGGAGATTTGGAGGTTCCTTGCGGTAAAGAAGTTGGAAAGATCGGTGAGATAGTCGGTTATTTGTTCGCAAAGTCTGTCTATGTTGGGGCCAGTTGCCATTATTGTGCAGTCATCGGCGTAGCTTACCAAGTTTACTCCTGCTGGCGGCGGAGGGAGTTTGGCCATGTAAAGATTAAACAGTGTCGGGGAGAGTACGCCGCCTTTGGGGACCCCCTGTTTAATTCTACGCGGCTTAGACTTGGCGTTTCGGAATTCGACCGATGACTGACGACCACACAGATAGCTGGTTATCCACCGTTTCGTCCGAGCTGGAAGCGACGAGTCCAGGATGTCTTGGCAGAGGGTCGCGTGGTTCACCGTGTCGAAAGCCTTCGACAGGTCCACAGCGACTAGGACCGTCCTATCACAGGGTCGACGTTGGTTCAGACCCTCGCTAATCTGTGTGGTAATGGTGTTTAATGCTGTTGTCGTGCTGTGCATTTTCCGGAATCCATGTTGGTGTTCGGCTAGCTTCAGATGCTTCGTCAGGCTGGGGAGGAGTAGTGCTTCCATGGTTTTTGCCACTGGGGATAGGAGGGAGATTGGTCTGTACGAGTCTCCTGCGTCCGCCTTCTTCCCTGGCTTTAGGAGGGGAATGATCCTACCCATTTTCCACATCTCGGGGATGATCAGGGTGGACAGTGACAAGTTGAAAGCGGCGGTCATATATTCGACTCCCGCAGGTCTCTTCGGAGTACGTTGAACTCGTCCTGGCTCTGAAGGCTCGAGCCGGAGTGGAGTTTGGTCTCCTGGATCGCCGCGACTGAGATTTTATGCCTTCTCATGAAACCGACTATCTCAGCGATCTTACTTTGTAGTCCGTTGCAATTGAACTGCAACAGCTTGATGGATTGTGGCCTTATAATAGTTACGCGAGGGGTGAGCGAGTACTGGCGCGCTGCCTGTGCTGGTGGTTGTGCCTGCGGTGCCTGTAGAGCCTGACGTGCTGGTCCCCGACCGGGTGGGTTCGCCGCAGGTGTCGCGACCGGTGGTGGGGTTGGTGCTTGCGTCGGCGTGTGTGTTGTTGGTGGCGTTGGCACGGGGTGTTGTGGTGCGGCTGGGCAGCAGGCTGCAATGAAGCCAGTACTCCATTCACGGTGGTGCGTTAGGCCTGAGCAGCGCTTTAGGTGGCACCAATTGTTGCATGCGTTGCACCTAACCGATGTTGTGTTGCGCCTTATCAGGTTGGTGCAGACGCTGCAGAACCATCTGTCCTGGGTGGATGTCCTGTGTTGCGTGCTTGTGGCTGGTCCACTGGTTGATGGTTGGGCGGGTGTTGGCTGTGTGGAGTGACAGGTTTGTTGGTTGTTGCAGCACGATGCAACAAAATTGTCACTCCACTCCCTGTGGTGCCGAAGACCTGAGCATGCCTTTAGATGGCACCAGGCGTTGCAGCGGTTGCAGCGGACAGAGGTTGAGGAGTGGTGTATGTTGCGGTGGCAAACACTACAGATCCAGGGCCCGGGATTTTGTTCTATGCCGGCGCGGACCAGTAGAATACGGAGCAGACTTGCCGGTGGGTCATGCTCCCATGGCAAAAAATTTGGGGGGTTGCTGCTGTGGTGATGGTCCTTGGTCGGAGTGAGTTCTCCGAGTCAATCCGGTACGTAGAACCGACCATCTTGGGATTGGCTATCACTGCTGCTGCAGCTCGCTTCATACCGGCAGGATGTATATCGGACCCACGTCCAAACTTCCCTGCCGAAGCGGCTGTTCTAGCTGATGAGCGTGATAGCCTTCGTCAGGCCGATCCCGGAGATCCCCGTATCAGGGATCTCAACGCGGAGATTCGGCAACTTGTAAACGTACATAAGCGGAAGAAGTAGGAGGAGCACCTGAAGACTTGTAATTTCACCTCTGGTGTGAGCAAGCTTTGGTCAACCGTGAGGTCATTGTCTAATCCGACGAAGCACGACGACAGAGTCGAAATTTCCTTCGGCGACCATGCTTCGTCGGACCCGGAGAGATGCGCGAGCTATTTTAGCCGGCAGTTCATACTGCATCCTCCGGTAGACAAAGCCAAGCGTCGAGTGACCAGAAGGCTGCACAAACTGCCAACAAATTGTGCCCCCTTGCTTTCACTTGCGGTGAAGTTCAGGTGGCCATCGGGAAGGCGAAAGCCTCCAAAGCCATGGGTCCCGACGGAATATGCATGCTGATGCTGAAAAATTTGGGTCCTGCGGGGGTAGCGTACCTAACGGAGGTCCTCAACCTGTCAATGGCCACTCTCATCATCCCAGACATCTGGAAGGTGGGGAGAGGGGTCCCACTGCTCAAACCGGGGAAACCCGCCAACAAAGGAGATTCGTATCGTCCGATTACACTCCTTTCCCCGGTAGCGAAGACACTTGAGGCCTTGCTACTCCCGTACTTCACAAACCACCTGACCCCAGCGAA